TTCATCCTTAATTTTTTTAAAGGAGTTATGTAATTTTTAACGTTTCTTGGCCTCCACTGCTTAGCCTGGAAACGCTGCTTGCCAGATGCATCCTTTGAGGAGCCCCAGAGAAAAGACAGTAGGCAGGAGGATGTGTGTGTGATTGGGTTTGACCTGCCTTAAAGAGCAAGGCAATGGTGAGACAAGCCTCAGCATGGAAGAAGGTGGTATCTCCGTGTCATCTAGGCATTGTAATGTAAGTTTCCAGGCAGGCTTTTCAGCTCATTTCCAGAGCCATGAGGTTACATCCGTACTGCATGTGTTGGTGTTTGTAGGAGACTTCAGACAATTCCCAGAACTGTCAGTCTCCTAATTGTAGGATAATGTATGTGTATGTAGGATTACATATCTCAGAACTTAAAAAATGGGACTGTGAAACCCCATGAATTAGCATACTTCTCTGGAGAAATTGATTCTGTCCTGACAGGACCAGTTCTCTCAATGTGCTGAAGCTAGGCCTCTGATAGTGTTGCTGTTTTGCATCTCTTGGTGTGCAATCCAGGTAGATTATTTGGGCAGCCTCATTTATTTTGTGCAAAAAAAGTAATTGTACATTGAAAAATGTCTAGCAGGCTATCTTAGTAGCTGGAAAAATAACAGCACTTTGAGTTATATGTGCAAGTTTGTCACGGTCACTGCATAACCTCCATGGGTACTTGGGAGCAAAGAAGATGCTCTTACAAGTTGATTATTGTGAACACTTCCAGGTAAATCAGTGGTCCCACACACTGTGTGAAATAGGAGCATGGGTTGAAGCTGGTTTTTTTTCTTTTGATGTTTTCCCTTGTTCTCTTCCTTGCTGATTTTAATTGTCACTTAATGATGACTGATGAGATATCTGGAAGGAAAACTGTGACTCTTACGTGGCTAAATACCAGTTTGTGTAAGGAAAAGCTCGAAGTGATGATATATGGGGTGAGGTAACATGCTGTCAAAACAGCAGGAATGTAGAAAAAGAGAAGCACATCCTCTGTTAGTTGATAAAAGAATGTTGAAACTAATTCTATTCCTTATCGTACACCTGCATTTCTTCCTGTGATAGTGTTTTAAAAAGGAAAGAGTTACTTTGGACTTTACTCTTGATGAATGAAATAACAAAATACATGCTCAAGGAAAGCTACAGTGCACTGTAAACCGTTAGTGTTTATAAGTTTGTGTGTGAAAGACAGAGGCTTGTTAATTTTAGAGGAAAGGAAAGACTTGTAGAGGGAATGTGGACATCTGGCTAGGTGTAGGGGGATGGAAATAGGAATTAGGTAACAGGCTGAAAAGAAAAAGTAACATTGAAAAGTTATTTTGATGACCAGAAGTGGGGTGCAGTATCTCTAAAACTTTCTTTAAGATATATAGGAAATAGGACACTTGTATCAGTGGAGACCTAGTCCTCCGGAATTCAGCTTTCTTCCAAAGCAAGAAGCTTTAAGCACACTTTGAAGGAAAGGTTTACAGGGGGAAATGGCTGATAGGCTAAACTCCAGTAGGACTTGTGCTGTCTTGTTATGCCTTCAAGTGTGACCTCTGATTTTCTGGTTTGCACAAGTGGAATGAATTTTTTGCAGAGATGTTCTGGAGGATAGCAATCTCCAGTTCCACTTGCAGGCTGGTGAAACAGATATGAATGTTTCCAAGCATCCTTGAAAAATGACTTAAAACTTATGTGAGGACATGAATATGGGACAGTCATAAGGGTGTCATTGTGGGCAGAAACTGAACCCTTAAATGCTCTTGATATTTAAGTAGCATAATTTTTAATAACATTTAACTGCATACAAATTGGGTCCTAATCTCTTGGTTTTCTCTGGATTTCTTGCTGGGTTTAATTAGAGCAAAGAATGCCTCCTGTTTTCCTAAACTTGAGTAGAAGGAAAGAACAATGCTTGCAGTGTTCAGACCTGCAACTGTCAGAGTTTCCTGTTCCTGGTGAGTCTTTGCCTGTTCTTGTGTCAAATCAGATATACTGTAATCCCTCTATTGAGGCTCTTCTCCTCTCCAGTTTCCACTCTGATCTGGAGATAGGTGTTCAGAACAAAGTTTAAGAGCTACTAGAGAGAATTGCACAGGCTTTTGTGATTGTTAGGCTGCTCCTTTGATCCCTTTCAGCTTTTTAGGAAAGCGTTGTTGGTATTCTAGTCTTCCAGCTGCATACTCCTTGAAGTTTTTAATATACTGCTGTAAAATTAAAATAGCTGGAAGGCTACCTATTAAAGGATTTTAGTTTCCAAGATCTAAATTCAAAGCTTTGTCTTCTTGCATTTTGAACTCTGTATTAAAGCTATAGCAATGTAGGGAGCTCCATTCTTTTTTAGGTGTCAGAAATATCCTGGATGATTGAATTCAAGCTTGGTGCTTCCAGCTTTGAACAGTTACTTATCTTTGAGCCTGTGAAGCTTGTAATTGCAGTGGAGCATTTCAGGAGGACAGCCCTGTGAGATGGTGAGATTTTTGTTATCTCTAGTTTAATGTCTGGGAAACTGAGGCATGGGGCAGACTGAAATTAGGGAGGAAGTCTGAGCAAGTTAGCAAATGATTGCTGTAGCCTGTGTACCCACCTTTCTTGGTGAAATGAAAGGATGCTGTCTTTTGGAAGATGCTAATCTGTATTTATTAAAAGCTTTCTTGCTTCAGCCTTGACAGTGCTGCTGTTCTGGTAGTACAGCACCAAAACTAGCTCAGCAATAGGAATAACAAAATCTACACACTGGCAATAAAGTGCTTGCTGTAAACTAGATGCCAGGATGGCAGGGTGGAGGCATGCTGGTGCAAAACTGCTGAAACCCAGACTAGTGTGTGCTTCAAATCTGAGTAATGGCACAGCATTGTGCAGCTCTAGGACACCTTGGTGCTGGTTATCACCTCCCCCTGTGAGCTCCTGCTCCAGTGTGGCTGTTGAGATCAGCGTCTGAGTGGAAAGTTGTCTCAGCAGCACGTTTCAATGCATGTTGGACCTCAACATGCAGCAGTACTTCTTGTGCAAAGTTGGATCATAAAATAAATTTTGGTAATGATTTTACATCTGTTAGTTTAGATGTTCTGAAGCTTTTCTGTGGCAACAGTTCTGCATTAAACTGCTTCTCTTGGGAATGTGAGTTCGCCTTTGTCCCCAGCTGGGGGGTAAGCAGGGATACTTGAGACCAGTTCTTTTTGGCTTAAAGATTATCTTGGTTAACACATTCCTACCTGGGATAAAGTAACTTTTCTTGGCAGTCTGCTGATCTTTTTTTTATCAGTATCTGGAGGCCGTGCTGAAAGTGGTGGAAAGTCACCCCAAACTGGTAACTTCTGGTACACTGTACACTAAAATTTTGATGGAAGTGGAGTCTTTGTGAATACCCTCTAAATTTCTGTGTAATTCCAGTACAGTAAATAAATTGATATCTAAACTGAAGATGAGAAGGGTATAATCATAGTCTGAATTTGTGCATAAATTAGGGGTCTAATTCTTCTTGAATGGGACTCCTAGAAGTTCCTGTAGCATAAGCAGATACTGTAATACTTGCTTGTGACTACTTTTTTTTCTTGCTCGATAATATTCTATAGCACAAGCACCATATATGCATGTGATAGAGAAACATCTTCTGTTGCTTTTACACCTTGACTGTAGTCCAGCTGTGGATTTAGCCACTGAGTAATGAATTTCCAGTATAGCGTCTTTAACAAAGGAAAATGGTGTCTGTTAACAAGCCAGCTGTACTCGTAAACAGGGGAACTCGGTGGTGATTGTCCTCGGTGTTGTGAATTGCAGGGACTTTCACTGGGTGTGTGCACCGTGCTGTGATTGCAGTTTAATGGAGGCTTACAGGAGCTGGCTTTAAAGTAGAAGGCAGTATAGCCATGGCAGCACAGAGCTCAAAATACTGCCCATGAGCTGTAGAACTACAGAAGGCATTAAGCTGCAGTTCTTTTGCTGCTGTTTAGCTTACTGGGGGTGAGGGGAAAAAAACCCACAAATCAAAAACAAAAAAAAAAACAAACCCCAAAGGAAACACCTGCTTATGTGATTATGTTGTATGATCATACAGAACTGGTTCCTTTGTAACTTAACTTTTCAGTCAAGCATGGTGATATTTTATGATTGTTTTAACTGTTAACTGTAACAACCATATCCCACTGTGGTCCTCTAATTGTTGAATGAAATAGAAGGTGCTGCTGGTGGTAGAACAGATATCTATGTGGAGACTTGGAAAAACTTATTTTCATGCCCAGTTGCAATTTTTGTGAAGGAGAATTTAACATTTAATGCACTCCCCTGTTAGAAATTATTCTTAATGCTTCATTACTCAACCTTGCTAATTTCAGCTGTCTTCTGTTCTTCCCAGTTTCTTCCTTTATAACCAATCCCTATCCTCATTCCTACTTTATATTTTTTCCCCAAAGTTCACCTAAGCTTTCTTGTCTTTAATGTACCAGCAAACTAGGTAAGTCCTTGGCTGTCTACATGCTATTATTTCTCTAAGTATTTGGCAGGATTTGCTCACATAGAAATAGTATCTGCACTGGCCCTATTAAAATAGGACTTAGCAACCCATTAAAGGGATATCATTTTCCTGTTTTCTTTTTTGGTCTGCAAGACAGTTAATATTTTACTTGCTAGTGAAAAAGAAAGCAAGTATTTGAAAGAAAGATAATCAAACCTATGATCAAGGTTCTAGCTTTTGAGTGAGTAAAGAGTAAATGAGCCATCACATCAGTACAGGTAGCCCTGATGAGGTGTTTAGCTGGCATGATTTGCACTAGTGGCTTCAGTAGTGTGAAGGGCCATACTTGGCTAACTTAAATTCTGCTTGGATCACTGTGTCTGTTTGTTGGAGAGGGGAGGACACTTTGGCAGCTTCTGAATTGCCTTTACTGGATCCTCTTAAGTTGTATTGAGGGGAACTGTTTAAAGCCAGCTAGCAGGAAACACTGTGGCCAAAGTATTTGGATGGCATTCAGGCTGCCTGGATATGGCACTACAGTCTTTCAGGGAGAAGATGGTGAGACTTCACTGGTATCTGGTCAGTGCCTGTAGCACTCTGTAGTAGTCCACAAGTCATATGACTCTCCACCAATGTCAAAACAAGCCTGAGAGGCTGTGAGCAGGAAGGGGCAAAGGTTGGTCACTTGCTCAGCAAGCAGTGGGAAGAGCAGTGGATGGTGGCAGGAGGAGCTGAAGAGACAGCTGGAAGATTTGGTAAGGTGTGTGGGAAGGGTGACGGGAGGAGTGTTTGGGCAGATAGGAAAGACAGAGGCTTTTTTGGAAAAGAGAGGAGATGTAACTGGGAGACTCTGGACAAAAGACTGCCTCTTCAAAGTGTGGTGGCTCTTTTTCTTCTTTCTTGATCCAGATACAGACATGTCTTTGCTAGAATTGAAGCACAGATTTTTGGCTTAACAAGCACAATATACTCTCAGAGAATATGGAGCAAGTCAGATGAAGAGGAGTGCTGCCAATGCCTCTTTCCCACTAACTGCTCATTCTTACCCATGCTTTGCAATTTGCAGCCTGGGGTTTTTGTTGTGGTTTGTTTTTGGGGGGTTTTTTGGTTTTGGGGTTTTTTTGTTTGTTTTGGTTGGGTGTTTTTTTTAATGTAGCTGTCCTTTTCAGATGATCTGTGGGTCTGTACTGTTAAGCAGATTGATGAAATGGATTAGGTTTAAAAAAACCAAACCAACCAAAGCATACTAGTCCTGGGAAGAACTTATGGACAAGTTGCCTGCTATATAATGCACCTTCACAAAGTCACAGGAGATGAGCTCTAGTGTGACCTTAGCAGAAAACAGAATAGGGGAGCTTCTTGAGCTAACTACACATTGGGGAACTTGTACTTTGAATCTCCTGCACAGGAGGGAGGAAACAAATCCATGTGAAGTTATAACAAAATGGCAGCACTGCTGGTGTGCAGCAAGATGTGAAGCTAAGAAACAGGACTTATGAGGAGCAGATATATAGGTTTCATTTCACAGCCTTTTCACTCTAAAGATGGTTGACAGACAGGGAGAACAAGATGGAATGACTGAGAAGAAAGTAAGGACTGTGATGGCATTACAGGATAGGTGGATAATGTGTGTAATAACACTGTTTGCCTGGTGCCAGTCTTCTACAGGATTTATTTTCAAATGTTCATAAGTATTTCTAATCATAGTACTTAGTTGTGGTGTCATTTTATAAGTACTGTAATTGCCATATGTGTGTAATAGTAGCGGAGAACACTACAAAGTTGTAACTGTCCCTCTGTTTAACAATACATTAATTGCAAAGGAAAATTCTGAAAGAATTTTCATCAATCAGATGACAGAAAAGGAGGGGAAGCAGTTAAAAATCCAGCTGATATGTTTAGTAAGGATCTCTAGTATTAAGGGTCTTTCCTGTGTCCTCATAGGGTTGTTAACCCTAGAGACTCTCTGTAACTGTATGCTAATGGAAAAAGAAACAGATGTACCTTGCTATCCTACTAGATTATTTTTTCCAAGAAGAAAGATTCTATGTGGTTTCAGTCACATAAAGAGGAAATAGCCCATATAGATTGTGCATCCTGAAGGAGGCTCAGGAAAAGTTCTCTCCAATCTGGAGATCTTGGATCTCCCCCTTGGTTTTCACCTCCTGGAGTATAGCCCCACACAGTCAACCAGCAGGATCTGGTTTATGGAACTAGTGAAGGGAGATTACATTTAAATCCCAGTAACTCAAGGAACAGATGCCATTGTGTTGTGTAACAATTAAGTGTCCTCATTTTCTCTGAGCTGCTGTGTACTTTGATTGATACTCAGTCAATGCATGTGGCCTACTGATTATATGTATCTCACTGTAAACCAGGAAGGTTTTTGACATTACTCAGAAGGGGAGTGTGACGTGGAAGACAACTACAAAATAGTGTCATCATGTTCTTCCTCGTGTGGTGTGATCCAGCTCAGAGTCAGGAAAATCCTATGATTGATATGATGACCTTTTTGCCAGTAGCTGCTCTTTAAAGCAACTTTGAAAAGATGATTTTGCTTATTGGTGCCTTGTGCTGTAAATGCCAAGGAAATATGTGCTCTGAGATAGAAACAAATTAACGAAGCTGTGAAACAAAAACCTTCATGAGCAATTTCAGAATCGAGAGATCTGTAAGCACTCTTGCAGGGTCCTGGCTGATAGGCAAAAGTGCCAGTTTCTTGAATACACAGTAGTTTGCAAACTAATTTTCTGTAAATCCATCTGAAGTGGAGGAGTGTGGGAAGATGGGCTGGAATGCCTCTGAAAGCTCTCTGTGAAAAGCTGTTTGTGGAAGCTGCAAAAACTCAGCTAATTGTGGTGTTCCTGAGGAGACCAAAAGATGAAATCCTTAATTCATTACAGTCATGGTACTTTGAAACTCACCTACTGGAAACTATTGAAAAAGTTGAAAAAATCTCTGAGCTACTGCTGGCCTGTCTGAACTCCTCAAATGTTGACTATAGCACACTCCCAGCCTCTGAAATATCTCCCCTAATCTAGGACTAATGAAGTCTGTGTTATGAGAGGAAGAAAACTCCAACCTGACATGCATTCACAAGGGAGGAGTCCTTTTCCACTTACCCTAGGCCCTTTTTGTAGTTAGTGCAAAGAAAAGCAATTTTGGTATGAATCTTAAGCATTGATTTTTAAATGTCCAGCTCGAGATGGGTAATGACCAGGATTTTACCTTCATTGCTTCAAGCTGGTGTGGGGTTTGCTTTGACTAAGAATGCTGTCACACTCTTTAAACTGGTGAATGCAGGTTATCTAGACCTTCTCATGGAAGGTGCAGAGCACCCACAGTAGTTGCTCAAGGCCTGTCTTTATTGCGGGCATGTACTTAAATCATTATTTACACTCTAAAGATAAGGATAAACTAATTTGCTTTGATTTGTATAGGAATTCTGTCTGTCTAACATTACTTTTTTTAACATAACATCTACCTTACTTTTGGCTGATATCTTCTATCATTTTGTTACTGTTTTCAAGCTACTAGAAATTGTATCTTTTCATTTAAGGCTGTGTTTATCATTTTCCCATCTGTCTTTCTTACTTAATGTGGCATTGGCAAATACATCTAGGAGTCGAATGTGGTGCCATGTGTGTAATCCAGTGTGAAATACTACCTGCTGATATGTGATTAGGTTATCATGTATGACTAGTTGTAGGTAAGCCCACTGCGTCAACAAAGTGTTACTACAGCCGGTGAATGTGCTGCAATTATGATATTGCCTTTATTTTAAACCACATGCGTGCTGGTATTTGTTTCCTGTCTTGATTAATCTTAGTTTTATTTATTTGTCTTGTCTTAGGTCAGAGGATTGAAACAAGACAATGGATTGGGGAGCTCTGCATACCATTTTGGGAGGCGTAAATAAGCACTCCACCAGTATCGGGAAGATATGGCTCACAGTCCTCTTCATCTTCCGTATCATGATCCTGGTTGTGGCTGCAGAGAGAGTCTGGGGAGATGAACAAGATGACTTTGTCTGCAACACGCTTCAGCCTGGCTGCAGAAATGTTTGCTATGATCACTTTTTCCCCATCTCTCACATCAGACTCTGGGCCCTGCAGCTGATCTTTGTCTCCACCCCTGCGCTGCTGGTGGCCATGCATGTGGCTTACAGGAGGCATGAGAAGAAAAGGCAGTTCAGAAAAGGAGACCAGAAATGTGAATTCAAGGACATTGAAGAAATTAGGAAACAGAGGTTTCGTATTGAGGGCTCCTTGTGGTGGACGTACACTGGCAGCATCTTTTTCAGACTGGTCTTTGAAGCCGTCTTCATGTACGCGTTTTATTTCATGTACGATGGGTTCCGAATGCCTCGCTTAATGAAGTGTAATGCCTGGCCCTGCCCCAACACTGTAGACTGCTTTGTTTCCCGACCTACTGAAAAGACCGTGTTCACTATTTTCATGATTGCTGTGTCCAGCATTTGCATTCTTTTAAATGTGGCTGAATTATGTTACTTACTGGCAAAGTTTTTCCTCAGAAGGTCTAAAAACGCTGGAAATTCAAAACAGCAGCCCAACAATGAGAATAAGGAAGAAACCAAACAAAATGAAATGAATGAGTTAATATCTGATAGCTGCCAGAACACAGTTATAGGGTTTACAAGTAGCTAAGGTGGTGCCAGTGCTGATGTTCACTCTTTTTGGAGTGAATGTTTTATTTAAAGGCTGCAAATGAAATTTGTCGTATGAAACAAAGTTGGGTGAGGTTTTGATGCATAGTGTCAGGTGTCGAGTAGGTACACGTCTGGGAAAAGTCAGGGCAGCCTAAACATGTGAAAATTGCGTGAGGGTTAAATAGGAAGACACACTTTCCTGTGAGTGCCCTTACAAGCTGACTATGACAAGTGGGAAGCCCACTGCTACCTTAATGCCGACACAGCTCCTGAAAACTAAATGCAACAGCAATAAGAACAAAACTCTTTCCAAGCTAGGTATTCTAGTATTACAAGATGTTTTGTAATAGTGGTAGTTTTTACTTGTGAACTGATGATTAAAATATTTTTCTAAAATCTAAGATTCCATGTTACTTAAGGTGTTATAGTACACAACTGACTGTTTTATTTCTTAACCAGGCATATGCAGATGAACCCTGTAATACCATTTTCATAGGGAGGCAACAGCAATAGGCTACATGCACCTTCACAGCTTTGCAAGTGCTGCTTGAGTCTGGGCAGGTAGCTTGAGATGCCTGCATACGCACTGCTGGCTGTAGGGGAATTGTATGAAAGCCCACCAGTGTGTACGATTGAGGTACCTAGATTCTCAGTGCAAACTCATGCCTGAAAACAGCACAAGAATATAGTTACAGCCTATGTAGACTTGTTTAAACAGCTAGCAGACCTGGTAATTGTACCAATCTCTTAATTGCATACTGTCAGTTTTATAGCAACTTACATAAGTTTATGTAGATGTTTTTTTCTCTAATGTATTAGCTGTTTCTTTATACTGTATCACATCATGGAACTTTTTTTTGGTTTTGATTTGTTTGCTTTTTTGTAGTAGACTGATGGTGCTGTTATGAGACTAGAGTCTGTCTGGTTTCAAGGACGTGGAAAAGTATTCCTGGAAATGAAGTGAGTCTTCTGAATAAAAGGCAAACACTTTAACCTTTCTTAGTGAAGTGAGAGTCTATATGTGAATGCTAGGCAATATTTTAAGTAGGAACTTAAAAAAAAACTTTTTCAAGTAGAGACTCTACATCTAAAGTGCACATAACCCCTAGGCACCTCTGATTCCCATCCAGGGCACTGATGCCCTAATTCTGTTGTCCATACTCTAATGGAGATACACAGGAAACTCTGAGTGCATGGCAGTGTGTGGCTGTGGGAGAGGTGTGCTTGTGAAAGCTGGGGAACCTGAAAGTCAGAGGTGGGTGCAATGCAAAACAGCTGTATTGTCTTGTGTGCTTCCTCTTTTGGGCCACTTCTCACCACCATGGATACACTGACCTCGGTAGAACTAAGTTACTAAGTTTTGGGGATTGGTTTGTTTGTTGTCATTTTACAAATGGATTGGCCTCACTATTTTTCTATAATGGAACTACTCTTTATCCTTAGGAGCAGATATTGCAGAGTCCCCTTTTCCTCATGCTGTTGTATCACACTTCTTACAGTGTTAGCACAGCTCTGTGTACATCCTGAAGGAGGGCCCAGGTGTCCATGCTGTAAGAGGGCTTCAGTGGGTTGGTTGTTTTATTTATGACTCGTAAAACCCTAACAGGGAGCAGGCACAAGCAACAGGAGAGAGAAAATACCTAGAGTCAGCTCTGTCCTTGCATGAGGGTCTGAGCTGAGCCCTGCCATTTATCTGTTCTCTTCCACTGGCAAACTCCTGATCTTTCCTGCCTTCACAGCACATTTTCTTTTTTAATCACTGTTGTGAAAAGAAATTGCTGCTAGCCTTCTGAATGTATCTACCAGCAAGCTGGAGGAAAAGATATACACAACTATAGTATACTAGTGTATATTATTCTCTCTGCAGATTTAGGGAAGCTGATCCCTTAGGCTCAGGAAGGTGGGTGCTCAGCTGTGCCTTGCTGGATCACTCCCCAGGCTGCCCAGGTGCACAAACAGAGTGGTGGTTCCAGGGTGTGAAGATACAACTACTTCTCTTCCAGGACTGTTTCATGGAACAACTTGAGACTTGACTTTCATCTGGGACATCTGTGGATCACATACCATACTGTCAATATGAATAGAGATCAGTTAATAATTATGCTTGACTGTGTCTTACCTGTGTCTTATTTGAAATAGCCCTATGCTGCATGCCAATAAACCTGTGAAGCACCTTGAGGTAGATATGTTTTCCTCAAATGGAGGAGGGGTAGTTTTTCTTGGTCTGTGATAAAATGCAGGCCTACAAAACCCCAAATGGGGATACGACGATAGCTCTCTCTGTGGTTTTTCTTTTCCTGCTCACAAGTTTTCAAACAGTGAGTTCTATTCCAGCAGTTAGTTTTCTCTAGAATGTCAGTTCCATTCCTGTTCATTCTTTTCATCCTGGGTAAGTGGGCAAAGTTTCAATGAAGAAATTGGTTGTCTGCAGTCCTTTGTAGGCCAGCACAAGTCTGTGTGTGGCCATGCTGTAAATGGATTTGGGTTGGCTGGACATTTCCTGTGTGGTAGCAGGACCTGGTAAGGTGCAGTCTGGCAACGCTGCCCTGTTGCTGTGGTGTCCTGGCAGCCAGATGGGTTGGGAACAAATGTGCCAGTCCCTGTCGAATCTGCACCAAGGGCACCAACCCTCTGACTCTCACCTACTAATGACTGGGTTATACTCTACGGGCACCACCATCCTCCCATGGTAGTTCAGCCAGTTTTCTCTGATGGCAGCTGGCTCAGCTGTCTCTGCCCATCCCTGCTGCTGTTCCCCACCCAGTGATTTCTCCTTTGTTATGCCTGGGGCAGAGATTGCTTAAATTGGTTTTGATGCCAAACAATTAATCAGAGCCTCTGGAAAAAAAAAATCTCTCTTGCAAATTCCCTGCATCCCCTCCCACCTTCTTGTCTTGCTGTCCTTTCAATAGGCAGGAGCTCTGACTGCCTACAAGTGCAGCAGCACTGGCAGCTGGACTGTATTCCTGTTATGCACCGTGGCCCTTGACTCCAGCACCCTGCTCCATCCTTCTCCTTCCCTCTCAGCCCAGCCCCATTGCAACTTTGACTCTGTTTTCCATTGACCTAGGCCCATCCCAGCAACCCTACAGGCCAAAGATCTAAAAGCAAATGAGATCATCTAGATCAGGTTGTTCAGAGTCCCATCCAACACGGCCCTGAATCTTTCTAGTGATGGGGCATCTACCATCTCTCTGAGCAACATGTTCCAGTGTTTCACCACCTTCATTGTAAAAAAAGTCATCCTTATATCCATCTAGTCTCAATCTGCCCTCCTTTAGTTTAAAACCATTACCCTTGCCCTATTGTAACAGGCCCTGCTAAAAAGTTCATCACCATCTTTCTTATAAGCCCCTTTTAAGTACTAAAAGGCTGCAAAAAGGTCACCTTGGAGCCTTCCTTCTCCAGGCTGAACAACTTAATTCTCTCAGCCTGTCTTCACAGGAGAGACCTTCCATTCCTTTGATCATTTTTGTGGCCCTCCCCTAGACCCACTCCAACAGGTCCACACCTTTGCTGTTCTGAAGACTTCAGAGCTGGTGCAGCCCTGTAGGTGGGCTCTGAGCAGAGCAGAGGGGCAGAGTCCCCTCCCTGGCCTTGCTCTCATGCTGCTTTGGATGCAGCCCAGGACACATTTGGCTTCTGGGCTGTGAGAGCACACTGACAGCTCATGGCCAGTCTCTCACTCAGCAGCACCACCAAGTCCTTCTCAGCAGGGCTGCTCTCATTCCCTTCATCCTATGGATACTTAGGGTTGCCCTGACCCAGGCTGGCTTTGTTGAAACCTTGTGAGGTTCCCATGGGCCCACTTCTTGAACTTGTCCAGGTGTGTCATTTGAAAACTTGAAGGTGCACTTCATCCCACTGTGTATTTCTGATATCACTGATAGAGATATTACAGAATATTCTGAGTTGGAAGGGGCCACAAGGACCATGAAGTCCAACCCTTAAGTGAATGGCCCATATTCAAATAGACCACCTTGGTGTTATAAGCACTATGCTCTAACCAACTGAGATAATCTCAGTGGCTCAAATTAAATGTCATATGGTTTCAAACCATCTGCTATGGCAGAGGAAAGGGGATATTAAACAGTCTGGTCCTAATATGGAGGTGGTCCCTGAGGGACGCCACTTTTTACCAATCTCAATTGGGACATTCAACCATTGACCACTCCTTTTTGGATATGACCATCCCAATCTATTCCTCATCTACTGAACAGCATACCCATTAAATCCACCTCTCTGTTTCAGAGAGAAGGATTTTGTGAGTGGACTGTGCCAAAGGCCCTACAGAAATGCAGGTAAATGACGTCTGTAGCCCTTCTGTAGCCACCTCATCACAGAAGGCCTCTGGGTCTGTCATGCAGAACTTGCCCTTGGTGAAGCTGTGCTGGCTGTTTCAAATCACCTCCCTGTCTTCCATGTGCCTTAGGACAGCTGTGCTCTCAGAGAGCATGGCCTCTGAAGCCAGAGGGACTGTCAGGATGAGATCCTACCCCACACTGGCCACTGCTGTCCCCTCAGGTGGGCCCATGGGCAGAGACATCTCCACCACAGCAAACTTCTTTGTAGGGACATTGCATGGGCTGCAGACTGAGAGCGTGACTGGTGTGGCAGCCTTTCCCCTGCCAGAGGCATTGTCTACGCCCCTTTCCCTGAAGAGCCTTGCATTGTCAGGCTTGTACTTCTCAGCTTTGGCACGTAAAGGTGAATGGCCTCTCTTCAACTTCCACAGAAGCTGAAAATCAGCTTCACAAAAAAAGATGGGGGTGGGGTGCAAACAAAATTTCTGCAGGTTCCCACCCGCTCGTTCCTGCACCCCTGACACAGTTCTGGAGTATGACTGCTTCTCCAGCACGCGCGCAGAGCCAGATGGCTTGGGTGCATCTCTCCAGAAAGCAGCACTCAACGCTGTGATTGACACACAAAGCAATGGACAGGTGGGTCCGTGGGTGGAAAAGGCAGGGAGAGGTTCTTGCAGAACCCTGACTCAGCCATCAAGTCCCAGCAAGGGCCCCAGTCAGCACCGGTCCCATCCCTGGCAAGAGGTGTATGGACAGGAGTGCCACTCCCTGCACCTTGTCACCATGGCCACCTCCTGCCTGAGCTGATAGGACACCCATCAATGCTAGAATTTGCACTTCAGCCTCCCCACCCCGCCAATGCTCTGAACATCAGGTTGGCCCTTTCTGCAAGCTTGCAGATATTTCAGACCCAAAGCTCCTCACTGTCACTCAGCAAATCCCTGTTGATTCCAAGCAGGCTTGGGCCGGGCCCTTAGGAAGGGCGTACCTCCTTTAAAACACTGCAATACCACCCAGACTCTTTCTGCACTCCCCTTTTGCAACACCAGTCCCATTTCACACAGCAGCTATTACCTGCTGGCAGCAGATCTCCACCTTAGATTTGTAATTTCTGCCAGCCGTGATGGTGCCCTTGTGCTGGGCAGGCTGCAGAGCCTACACTGATGTGTGGTCATGCTCCCACAGCCACTTCAGCCACTTCCAGTTTCTGCTGGTGGCTGCAGAAAGGACTTCTTTACTTACAGTCAGAGGGGGAGAGCTCCCTAGAATGTTCTGGCTTAACAAATCCAAGAGTCTTTTTTTCTCCTGCTGTGTTAGATGTTGGGTAGCCATTTATTTGTGTACGAGCCCATGAATCAGAGAAGTTTGGGACAGCAAGATCAGTAAAGCAGGAAGGTTTTACATCCTGCTGACTCCCAACCCAACAGAACCCTTAGTCCATGGCAGTCAGGCTATTTGACTTCCTTCAGACCCAGAGGCAGAGCTGGTTCTCCTCCTAACAAACCAGAGCAGCATGGTGCAGCCTTTCTATATTAGCAAAACCACAGTGCAGTCCTGGCTAATCTAACTTCTGCCAGTATTTTACACCACCATCTCCTTGTTATAATTTACATGATGCACCTCTCAGGCCAGTGACCTGTCTCAGTTATGCCTATGGGACATCTGGGAAAATTATTAAACAACATCTGGCAGAT